TTAATGACTGCATCACTTAGCAATGGGTTTTCCAGTCCTAATTGTGGTTGGTAAGTGAGGACTCTTTGTAATCTTCTTACTCATTCTGTACATCCTATACATGTACGATGCCAGTTGAAGAAGGTGAGAGAAAAGCATTCTCTTGTTTAGGAGCTCCTAGTTCTTCTCAGCGTTTTGGCATCCATGGGAGGGAAACAGAGGTTTGAAGTGGATAGTACTCCATTAATATGAGAATGCTTAGATCTTCTGTCACCCCAGACTTTAAAAGATAATTACAACACTCCTACCTGCTAATTCTTGTCGTCTTAATTTAGTTGATTAAATCTCCTTTCAGCTACATTGCTCTGATTGTACAACTAGTGAAGTGAGCTCTAGGTGGAGCTGAGTTACATTAAGGGTTTTTGTCAGGCATGTTTCAGTATTTGACACAGATGTGTGGCTCATCTGTATGTTCCCTAAAATATTTTAACAATCTTTTTTCCCACTCGTTATGGTTCATATGCTCTCCTGAGTCATGAATGGGTGTTAGGATACATCTTTGCTTTCATTTAGCTGTGGAAACAGTTGGCCCGCAATAGCTTATTAGGAATTTGATTGTCAATGTACTGCAGTAAATAACCATAGAACTTTATTTTGCAGCCTACTCTCCATTTAACAATAACAAAAATGGAGTATGACATTTAACTTCTGCCACAAAAGCAATACTATAGCTGGCCCATAACACATTCTTGCATTATAAAGATGAGAAATAAAGTCCAAGTGGCCTTTCAAAGACCTACTTCTTTAGTAGTTATTGCACTAGGCATTTGTGTCTGGCACACAATAGAGATATAACAGATACTGCTGTGGAATAAACCAGCCTGGAAATTTAAGGTACTCCAATGTAGCTTCCCTAATGTGAGCTCAGGTCTATATAAATTTTCAAAAGTTAAGTGTGCAATGGGAGAGGCGGGGTGAGGAGAAAGGTGTGAGGTCTGGTGGGGTGGGAAGAGGCCTAACTTCTGTGCAGACATGGGGGAGGAAGCAGATCCAAGGTTTGCAGAGTCCCTGAGGAGTGGGAAGCGGAGCATGGGGTGCCTTGAGGATGGATGGGAAGGCTATAGGAAGTATGGGCCAGGTGGCTCTGACCCTGCATTAGGCCTACCATGGTCTCTCCCACCCGAGGCACCCTGTGCTTCGCTTAATGACCGCATTGAGGAGAGCAGAGGTGGGTGTTATTAAGCAAGGTGATCATGTGGTCACCTCACTTAACATAAGCCATCACTTTGTCATAGGTTTCATTCGGTTTACCCTTGTCAGTGGGCTCCAAAACACAAGAGAACCAACACTACAACACAGGTCCCTAGGCAACACACACACAAGCATCCACAGGCTAGTACTCACTGTTCACCACTACTCAACTTTTACCCACTACCATACTTCCTACTACTGCTCTTCCAACTTCTTGGGAGTCCTATTATGGGAGAAGTTTTAGTTGCTTCAGGCTGCTTTATTTCTACACAAGCATACACACACCTCCTTCTCTGCCAAGAACCCCTCCCCCCCCAAGCACTGTCAGTTGTTTATCAGCACTGCTTTTTATAGCCAAGGTTTCTGGGTTGCTTGGGAGAGGGCTTAAAGAGGCAGGACAACAGCTGCCCAGGTGTTTAGCCATTTTCTAGGCAGCTTGGCCTCTCACAATCATAATGGTCGGGCTCCATTATAGTCATGAGCCAAGGACAACCTGTATTTCTCAGGTCTTTTTCCCTAGGACTGCTTTACTGTCAAATCAACATTTACACAAATGCGCTCAAAATGTTTTAAGAACTCAGAAAGAAATGCAAGGAACCAATGCAAAAGATATAGCTAGAAATAATTGAAATACTTATCTATTTAAATTTTAATATTTATTTAGTGCATCAAAATGCACTTCATCTTTGTACCATTCATAACGAATCTGATCTCCTATTTAGTGCAACATTCTGTAATATCTTTTTCTTTCTGAGTGCCACTGAACAGCTTTATCCTGACTTTTAATACTCAAGTTCAAATGAATGTTTTAGGTCAAGTTATAAAGCTAATTTCTTCTAGGATACATGTCTTGAAAATTACATATTCCTAATTTTCCACATAATCACTTCAATATTATAATGCCAGTATGATCTCAAGTCTTCCTACTGTTTATCTTGTGAATGTGATTCATAAAAAGCTCCCTTGGCAACAATAAATAGATTTTGCCACTGTCCATTATTCTCCATTGAACAGTCTGCACAATACATCTGTTTGTAAAAGATGAGTCCACAAAAGTGTGTATGTTTGACAAAGGTGTGAATAAAGCACACATTGTATCAGGGGAGACTCTTGAGAGTTCTTTGGACTGCAAAATCAAATCAGTCCATCTTAAAGGAAATCAACTCCAACTGGTTTTTGGAAGAACAGATACTGAAGTTGGAATCCAAAAACTTTGGCCACCAAATTAGAAGAGGACGTATTGGAAAAGACCCTGATGTCGAGAAAGAGGGAAAGCAAAAGGAGCAGGAGACGGCAGAGGATGAGATAGATAGTGTCATTGACACAATGAACATGAATTTGGGCAAACTCTAGGAGACAGTGGAGATTAGGGGGGCTGGTGTGCTATAGTCCATGGATCACGAAGAGTCGGACACGACATAGCAACTGAACAACATCAGGGAAATAGGAAATTTTCTTTTAAAATTGCATTGAGGAAATTAACTAAACATTCCCTAGAGATTTCACTAAAAATAGACATTGGAAAAACATATGTTAAAACCCACATATGTAACTAATACCGGATACAAAAATTGCATTATGTTACAGAAAATAGCAGACAACAAATGGAAAGAGATTAAGACTGAAAAGAAAATCCACTTAAAAAAACCACTCTGATGGATCAGAATAGTGTCTCAAAGATTAACATAGAACACACACAGATCCCAAAAGCAAGTAATGGGAAGACACTGAAGAACAGCTGATTTTTTTGGAATAGTTATTTCTAAGCTAGGTAGCCCATCTGACCTAATATAACAGCACATTCCAATTTTTCCATTACTATAAAGATGATTTACAGGTAGACCTTGACTTACAATCATTTGTTTACTGACTGTTTAAAGTTACAATGGCAGTGAAAAAAGTGACTTAATGACCATTTTTCATACAACCATTGAAGCATCCCATGGTCACATGGTCAAAATTTAGATGCTTGGCAAGTGACATGTATTTATGACAGTTGCGGTGTCCTGGGGGTCATGTGATCACCTTTTGCAACCTTATGACAAACAAAGTCAGTGGGGAAGCCAGATTCATTTAACAACTGTTACTAATAATCACTGTGTTCACTGTGTTAACAGCCAGGCCAAGGAAGATTGCAAAATGATGCAAAACTCACTTAACTGTTTTGCTTAGCAAAGGAAATTTTGGGCTCAATTGTCATAAAGTCAAGAACTACCTGTAAACATTTCGCTTATGTATTACAAAAACACTAACACTGTTTATATGTGTTCACTTATATGTGTTCAATTTCAGCGCTTCAGGACAGAATCCATACTAGATGTCAACGCTGCTCATATCGGATGTTTTTGCATTGACAACAGATGGAAATGTAGCCATCTTTTACCTTTTGCTTTTAGAGTTAGATGATGCTAGGAGGGGGGATGTGAACAAGAGTCCAGCTAGACATAACAACACTAAACATAGTATGAGAAACAAGGTTACTGTAACCAGAGCTGATAAGAAATTGGTGGACAGGAGAACTGGAGAGGAAGCCTGCACTTCAAGCTAATTGGGGAATGTGATTTATGACTGTTAATTGGAGGAGGGAATTGTGCTTTGATACTATGTGTCAGGGAAGGAGAATTCAGTTTTTGGCTTCAATTATGCAGTGCCGATATTATGCTACTCAAAATAAAGATTCTTTAAGGTGAACAATGCCTCGAAGTTCTTTTGAAGAGTTTCATCTGTCGGAACCATGATATTAAGCCAAAAACCATGACACTAGATTCCAATGGGACAGTGTATGCATCTTGGGGGATATATATATATATATATATATATATATATATATATATATATATATATATATATATATATATATATATATAAAAACATTAGAACAATTTATCATTTTATTCTGTATCGTGGAATAGATTCTTTGATCTGTCCTCAAATCAACACACGTGCTTGTAGTACACAGTAAATGATAGCATCCTCAAATCCTTTTTCTTTCTTCTAGGATCAAAAAGAAATTATGTACAAAACACATGCATCACTGTGTGTGAATTTGTACCCTTTATTCAAGACTTCTTTTCATTCCATATTCCTGATAAAAGAAGTCTTAATTTCCACTCAAAATGAGAGAAGTAGCAGGATGACCTTGTGCCACATGTGTGTTAAGTCTATTGTTACTCTTACATCCCTTCTGTAAGTGTTAATGCAGTCAAAGTGGTCCTTGACCTACAGCTATTTGTATAATGACCATTCAAAGTTACGCTAGTGTTGAAAAAAAGTGATTTACAACTGGTCCTCACACAACTGTCGTAGAGTCCCAGTGGTCGCTCAAAATTTGAGTGCTTGGCCACCAGCATGTATTTATAACAGTTGCATCATCCCAGGGTCACATGATCACCATCGCATGACCTCCCAGCCAGCTTCTGACGAGCAAAATCAACAGAGGAAGTCAGATTCGCTTAACGGCCATGGTGATTCCCATAACAACTGCAGCAAAAGGTTCATAAAGTTGAGCATGGCTCACTTAACAACCATCCCACGTAGCAACAGGCATTCTGGTCCCAACTGTGGTAGTACGTCAAGGACTACTTGTAGATGAGAAAACTGAAAAGTTGCAAATAAAGCCGGGGGATCGGGGAGAATGGCAAAGTGGAACTTTTGACTCTTTGGTACTCCATCCATCAAACTTGCTGGAATAATTATTAGCCATAAACAAGTTTTGGAAATATTGAGATAATAGGGAATATTAAAGGGGCAGCTGGCAAACTATTAGTGGATTGGTTGTTTTTTTTTTACAAAATTAGAATTTTAGCAAATAAAACTATTATAAACGTTCCCTAAAAAATTTACTGTCTCATTTCATAAAGTTATTACTGCAGTTTTACACATTTTAAAATATATACTGCATACAGCATGTCATTAATGTCAAGAAGTGCCCCACGAGGCTTTGGAGCCTTAGTATCAATGCAGAACAATATAATTTTGGTGTCAATACAATCCAAAGGACTGTATTCCATGCCTCGGATATGGATTAAGGTCATTTGATGATATTAAATGAACTAGTCACCTTTTTTTTCCTGTGTATACTGTACTGGAAGTTGCTCTGCCAGTCCATGGCTGGAAACAATGTTAATGCTGGATTGTTGTAAGTTACTTATCTGCCTGTCTTGAGAAAAAGTGCTCATTAGCAGTCAGTCTTCTTTCACACCATTAATGAGAATATGGGGGGAAGGAGTTGTGAGTACACACAAAGTGTTAAGTTTCATTGTTTTAATTTGGAATCATGGGCTTCATAGCAATTAAAACAGTGATGGGGCTCACCATCTCACCATTTACTACTCATTCAGTGGCAAACTTTTGAAAAAATGGGACACAACCCACAGGAGTGTACGGTGACATGAAGCTCTAGCTCTTACTGAGGCCAAGAGCAATTGCAATTTCCTTTTAAAAAAATGTAAGTTCATGGACAAACCTTTAAGGGATGAATATGAAACATTTTAAATGAAAAAAGAGGGGTAGAAAACTTATCTGAAACATGAGGACAAGCAAAACTAACTTATGTTTTACTGAACATTCGTCTGTTTTTTTCTACAGTAAAGGTAAGGCAACTGTGTTAATGTTACCACTGTATATAAACACGAGCTACCATTCTAGAAATACAAATCCTCTGGATGAGTCTTAAGTAGCATGTGTCAATTCCACAGGAACATAATCCTTGGCAACTGGAAGAACAGCAGTGACACAACACATCTCATCCCTGAATCTCCAAACATTACCCTTTTCTTGGCAAACCAAAATATTCCACATAGCATTAATAGTATCCAACAGTCTCCTCTACCATTTTTATAGTGGAGCAAAACAAAAAACACCCTTGTAAACCAACAGTCACAGCAGTCTGAAATCTCAGCAACCAACAGAAGGCTTCTTTTGCTTAATTAGTGCTATCTGCATCTGTTTTTCAGATCATGTTCAGTGGATGGTAGTGTTCTTTTGACTGGATACCGATAACCAACATTAGTCTTGTGTCGATGCACCATCTCCTTTAAGAATATCCTGGCTTCCCTTCCTCTTGTACAGGCTGTGAGGCCTCACGAGGAAAGTTCTTCTTCTGGTTTTCACAATTCTCTTCTTGACCAATAGGCCCAAAAGTCCTCTTATACCCTTCTACAATGCTTTGAGGTTCTCCGGATTCCATGCCGTGAGATGTACTGATTTCAGCACATTTTTCTTTATACTGGTGAGCATTGCCTGCAAATGTCTCACAGCGGTTTAGGTTTTCCTCTTGCACTGGGTTCCCCAGGCTGTCATCACTTGATCCAGGAGACATTGATCCTTCCTGGGAGTTCTGACTAACGTAGACAAAAATAATTTCCCCCTTAAAATTCATGACTTGTCCACTTGAAATGAACGTAGAGTTCCCATTTCCCGTCACATTTCCTAAAAGAGGTCAAAGCAGAGGGAAATACATACACACACAATTAATATGACAGTAAGAGAAGTGCAGCCAGTCAATATCCCAAGGAAGGATCTGGTTTGTGCAAAAAAAAAAAAAAAATGGTATCTGAAGGAAACATCGACTGGAGGTAAAATATTGTCTTTATAAGCCTTGTTTGCATTTCTGAAAAATTTCTCATTCAAATTACCCTAGCACAGTGGTTCTCAACCTTTTTAATGCCATGATCCCCAACCAGTCGTAGGTCGAGGACTATTCAACCGGTCGTAAGTCGAGGACTACTTAACTGGTGCAGCACCATTTGCAGAATGGGACTTTTGGCGGGCTCAGCAGGGCAGAGACAGCCTGGACAATTCCTATTGGCTTTTGAAAGCCAATAGAATTAGACTCTATTCAAGAGAGTCTATTCTATTGGCTTTCAAAAGCCAATAGAATAAAAAGGAAGTAGCACAGCTAAGGGAAAGGGGGAAAAAATGGCGGACTGCGTTGTTTGGCGACCCCCGTGAAATGATCGTTCGACCCCAAATGGGGTCCCAACCCACAGGTTGAGAACCACTGCCCTAGCAAATTAATGGGGATACCCTTTGAAAGTAGCCAAAATGAGACATTTTAAACATATACCCCAGTGGTGGCGAACTTATGGCACGGGTGCCAGAGGCAGCACTCAGAGCCCTCTCTGGGGGTATGTGCACCATTGCCCCAGTCCTAGGCCTTCAACTCGGTTTTATAAAACCTTTTCGCTTTAGGCCTCCGCCGCCGTATGCAAAAAAAAAAAGAAGTTCAATCAGTCAATTTCAACTTCTTGCAGGGAAAAAAAAAGATCTTGCAAAGTTGGAATTGATTGATTGAACTTTTTAGTCCCACCTAGTCTTCTGTTACCATTGCAGTCATGCCCACCCAATGGGCCATGCCCACCCAATGGGCCACACTCACCCGGCACTCGACAATGCATAAGTGGGTTTTGGGTTGCAGTTTGGGCACTCAGTCTCTAAAAGGTTCGCCATCACTGATATACCCAGACAGCAAGTACTACAAATAAATACAGCACTACCTCTGCTTAACACTACCAGAATACCATATCAGAATTAAGATATTGGCAGCATATTGCATGTTTGCACATTCTTCCAATTAGCATTATTTTGGCATCAAGTGTGCATAAATTAATAATAATATGCTTAATTTAATTTTAGTTTAACCTGTGGTGTGAACCCCGCAAGTAAATTATAGTTTATGGTTTGGTTTGTTGTATAAATTTAGGTGATTGTGATTTAGCTAATTATCCATGGCTTAATATAATGCCCTGATCATCTAACCACTATTAAGACAATTAGTTTTACATTTCTGCATCAGACACTAATGATCCTATGTCAGAAAAAAAACTATTATGAAGAATTCATTCCCTGCTTCTTAAAGTGTACATTTCCATTGGCGTAGAAAAAAGAAGGTGACGCCCATATTTAAAAAATACAGAAAATATTTCACAACATTTTCTGAGGCAATGTGATAAACAGGACCACTCCTGTGATTTTTCTCACCAAAGTTTTGATTAATTAGAGTGGTGCAAAAAAGATAAATTATGGACTCCTGATCCAAAATAACCAAGATCTGAAGTAGAGGAGCAAGGATGAGAAGAGTTATATTGCTAAGGAATTAATTACCAGAAGAGGAAAACTCTGAAAATGCAACATCATTTCCAGGCTTTATCCAATATTACGTGAATGTCTTGTTCACTGCATGAGAGTCTTGCCCATTTGCTCCTGAGAGTCCTCCAAATATTTGAATTAAATCTGGGGAGTATGCAGAGGTCAAAGAGGGAAGAATATTCTGTTCTACTGATGGATGCCACAATGCAATGCTTGGAAACCGCTGGGATTTACTCTACAAGTGGCCCTTGTTTAATAAGCACTTGTTCAGTGACTGTTTAAACTTAACGTTGGTGCTGAACAATGCTACTTATGACTAGTCTTTGTATTTACATCAGTTGCAGTTTCCCCACGGTCACATAGTTGTGATCCAGGTGCTTGGTGCCTGGCTTGCAATTACAGGAAAAGTTAATGGGGAAGCCATCAGAAAGTCACAAATGGCAACCATGTAATTCTTTACTTAACAACCCCCGTGATTTCACTTAACAACAGCAAGTGGAAGGGCCAGAATTTCCATTGCTAAAATGTAAAGTCATGTGGCATCCTGCTTTATCACTGCATCACTTCGCAATGGAAATTACCCTCATACTGGTCAAAGACCTGGAAGTATATATCTTTACAATTAGCACTTGTTTAGTCTCATCCTTTGTTTCTGGGTGTAATTTCAAGATGTTGGTTATCCCCTACATGACATACAGACTGGTATGAGCAACCCGCTTTCTTTTAACATCTGCCTGCCAATCTGATCCTACAGGGACAACACTCTCCAGGTTCCTTCAATTAAACACCATCATCTATCAAGATCCTGGAAGTGTGCCTTTCTCTGCAGCACCACCTGCTGTCCGGAATGAATTCTTCCCAAGTTTAATGAATTTGTGGTTATTATTGTGAATATTCCATATTTTGTTTAACAGGATAGCTGTCAAGGTGCAAAAAATAATTATTCATCAAATTATCCTGAAAATATTTTTCAAGTGCTTACATACAACAAGCTTCTCTACATTCACATTAAACTACAGTGTCTACTATTAAAGCTAATTGCTTGTTAACTGTAAATGATGAGGACTATAGCCAAACATATTTGGAAAGTTTACAATATAGTATAAAGGGTGCCATAAAAACATATGACTAATATTTTCATCTCCTTTAGTTGTACCTCTCTATTTGGAATTGGAGGTTCACTGTGAATGTTTTTTTTTCCTTTTAAACCATCACCACAACATTGGCTAGCCAACTAGCTTGACCAAGGTAAAGAGTGCCAAAAAGTATACTTTGTTTGCTGGGTGGAGAAAAACCACTGGCACCAGAATATAATCACATTGGGTCTAACTCATTTCCAAAATCCCAGAGAAAAATAAATGTTCCTGCCTTGTTTAAATGATCTTTAAAATTAACTGCAAGATTAACATGCAGAGCCAACCTTACTATGAAAAAAATACGAAGTAATTGCTTTAAACATGGTTTTCCACTTTTCTGCCTCTAGCTTACATTTTTATACTGTATTCTCAAACATGAGTAAAGAACAAATACTGTTTCTATGTTCAGATTTGTATAGATCACGGGTGTCAAACTCGGCGCGTCACGTGACATGTCGTGACATAGTGTGACTTTTTCACATTGGTGGAGCTGAGGTGGGCATGGCCTCTGCATGATGCAACTGGCCCACGGACCAGCAGTTTGACACCCCTCGTATAGATCTACTGTAAGGTCTACAATGCCTTCATTTGACTTGCCTTTCTTTCTCATCTTCCGCACTGTGGACAATCACCTAAATATGAGCCAGCAGTGTGCTGCAGCTGCCAAAAAAGCCAACACAGTGCTAGGCTGCATTAACAGAGGGATAGAATCAAGATCACATGAAGTATTAATACCACTTTACAATGCCTTGGTAAGGCCACACTTGGAATACTGCATCCAGTTTTGGTCACCACGATGTAAAAAAGATGTTGAGACTCTAGAAAGAGTACAGAGAAGAGCAACAAAGATGATTAGGGGACTGGAGGCTAAAACATATAAGGAACGGTTGCTGGAATTGGGTATGTCTAGTTTAACAAAGAGAAGGACGAGGGGGGACATGATAGCAGTGTTTCAATATCTCAGGGGTTGCCACAATGAAGAGGGAGTCAAGCTATTCTCCAAGGGGCCTGAAGGCAGGAAAAGAACCAACGGATGGAAACTGATCAAGGAGAGAAGCAACTTAGAACTAATGAGAAACTTCCTGACAGTTAGAACAATTAACCAATGGAACAACCTGCCTCCAGAAGCGGTGAATGCTCCAACACTGGAAGTTTTTAAGAAGAGACTGGACAGCCATTTGTCTGAAATGGTATAGGGTTTCCTGCCTGAGCAGAGGGTTGGACTCAGTGATCTCCAAGGTCCCTTCCAAGTTTATTATTATTATTAATTATATATACTGCTACATCTATCCATGTAGTCTTGACATTGTTTGCTATTGATTTAATTTCCCAACATAATCTACAGAGCTGTGATCTCCTAGTCTCCCATCCAAGTACCAACAAAATCTGTCTTTACTTAGCTCAGTGGTTCTCAACCTGTGGGTCGGAACCCCATTTGGGGTCGAATGACCATTTTGTGGGGGTCGCCAAACAAGGCAGTCCGCCATTTTTTTCCCCTTTTCCTTAGCTGTGCTACTCCCTTTTATTCTATTGGCTTTTGAAAGCCAATAGAATAGACTCTCTTGAATAGAGTCTAATTCTATTGGCTTTCAAAAGCCAATAGGAATTGTCCAGGCTGTCTCTGCCCTGCTGAGCCCGCCAAAAGTCCCATTCTGCAAACGGTGCTGCACCAGTTGAGTAGTCCTCGACTTACGACCGGTTGAGTAGTCCTCGACTTATGACCGGTTAGGGGTCGCGGCATTAAAAAGGTTGAGAATTACTGACTTAGCTTTTGAAAGACAAGGTGAGTGCTGCAATCTGCTCTGTAGATGTTTAATAATATCTACCCCTCACTACCAGTACGTATGTTCCATATGGAGGGCTTACCAGATGCTGCTGGGGGATCTGAAACATTGTAGCTTGACTCAGATGTTCTTTTCGCATTCTGGTCCTTTGTGTCCTTTCCATCAGATGATTCACTTTTGTCTCCAATATTGTTTGCTGACCCATTTTGGTCTACAGAAGAAGATTCCAAGCCACAGGTGCCTAGCAGAGAAGATCCATTTTCTTTTAAGGAATCTGTGGCATTGTCCCGTTTGTCAGGAGGTTGTCTGCAAGATGACCTGGCAAAGCTATGCTTTTCTTCAGAGACTAGTAGGGAAGTACTTGTATCGTTATTATCAACACCTCCCATCTTGGCACCAGTGAAATGATTACAAGGACTCTGCAGGCTTTTGGGTGAGGAAGCATGAATAGGGTCCATTGCACCCGAAGGATCCAAGCAACAGCAGTTTACTAATTCCTCCAGATTTTCTGTTCCTGTGAAGAAGTAATTCAGGCTCTCATTCTCTCCCACCTCTAGCGGTTCAGAGAAGGGTGATTCAGCTTTGCTATCAGATTGGCTCACCAAAGGTAAGTAACATTGCCCAAGGGATACTTTGTCCGTGTATTCATCCTCCGCAGGAGTCTGTCTAAAATGGCCGTCTTTAGAAATGGTAGTTAGAAACAATGTGGGGAAATTTTCTCTTAATCCGTAAAGTATTTTATTAGGACCATCTTTTTCACTCAGCAGGTGCTCACAAGGGGAATGTATCTCATCTGGAAAGCAATATTTGTCAAGATCCAGCAAATACGTCTCTCCCAAAAGCTGAAGGCCAGCAGGATGTGCTACATTTGTGTTTACAAATGTATCACAAGAAGAATCCTGCAAGAAAAGAAAACACTTCAGGAAAAAAAAAATGTCTCTTTCTGGTCAGGCAATCGCATTCCAAAGCAAAGCAAATACTTTTTCAAAAAGTCCTAGTATTTCAGTAGGTTTTTGGGGATGCAGAAGCAGTTTTAAATTGAAACGGTGCTGGGGTCTGCGACATACCATTTTCACTTGGTTTTTTAATTGATTATTAAAGAATTAAAATAAAGTTAGAAGGTAGGAAACGTGAAAATCCCAAAGGACCCCTTTATGGCCAGAAACCAGATAACGCTCCTATCTCGTCTGCTTCAAAACTCGTTGAATTTGGTAATCAATGTGTTTTGAAGCAGAAATCTTGTTCTGGCACTCTTCTTCTGCCAGCAGTCAACACGCAAGGAAGAACTTGCTGGTGTTGGCTGCCTATGACTCACTATTTCTTCCAGCTGAAATAGTGGGTTACTTGGTAAGTCACATGGTTTTCTCGGTACCCATCAGTTTTAGTATTTGTTGCATCTTCTGGAACAAATTACTGACGAACCTCGAGGTACCACTGTACTTCATCCAAAACTAAATTAACTCCTTATTTTTAATTGTTCTGAATTTGTTGCCCAGTTAATTGTGCTTGATAATTCTGTGTCCCAGTATTTTGAAATTGATGAGGTAGGACTTATTTTTAGAAATCTCCTTAACCATCCTTCTCTAGATTTAAAAATCTGAATGACTAATTTTCAGTGATACGCATTTACCTTACAAAATTATTACAGCACAGTTGCAGAGCACGTGAAGAGTTGATGAGCTGTCGTGATGTACAGAGATTCAGAGATTATCAATGTTAGCTAGATACTGAATTATTAAATTTTTCAGTAATTCTTAGGATTTTTAAGAGTTAAGGCATTCTGCCATCTATTATCTGTTTTCTATAGCTACAGGGGTCTACTTAAGTGCTCTGCAAATGTATACAAACCAGTATATTAACACTAAATAAAGCAATAACTAGAATCAAAAATACTATGTCGTTAATGAAAAGGAAAATAATTGTTATGCAGCTTGGATGGTATAGAGCTTTAAAAATGCCCAACTTTCTGCACAGGAAAAGTCCTGAGAAATGCTAAGTAAAAATACTGCTTCTGATAGTAATAGTGATAATCTGTTAAGTAAACCCTGCAAATTGCAGACAAATTGCAACATTTAAAAAAAAATTCCTATGATTTAAAGCCAAGGGAGTCTTTGTGGTTCTTTGTTTGTTATACTTTCATCTTTTCCTTTTGACCTTATGTCCACCAAGCAGTTTTACAAATTACAACTTTATTTCACCACTTAAAGAGTTCTCCAACGAAGAAGGATATCAGAAGAGAGCAACCAGGAAAAAAACATGAAACAGTATGAAAATCCATAAAGCCTTAGAATTCACCTTTTTCCTTTTTATTTGGTGGCATATTTCCTGAGCCCAGTATTGTAAATCTGCTGGAAGGAAACATAGAAACAGTATTCAGTTAGATTCTGGCATTTTAGCAGAATATTAGTGAATCACAAATGCAATCATACATATTATGGCTAGCTGTAGAAAAAAATCTTTACAAAAACACTTACAAACATTCAATACTTAAAATAGGATTGAACTATTTATTCATAGTATCAGATTGAGAAATGTTATAATACACATAACATTAAATTTCATCAAGTGAAGCACACTTAAAGCATTCATTTCAATAGACTTGTATACTTGCTGTAATTGTGTTCACTGACTTAAGAGTAAGTGAAAAAGATGGCACGCATATGCACCAAATAACAAAGCTTGCATAATATTTCATTCTTAAATATCGCGGTGTCAATTTGTTTTTAAATCTACTTTACTTAAAAAAAGTTTGTTTTTTTTTAAAGGGTTTGTGGTGAAATGTGAGTTGCAAAATGATTCCCAGTGCCCCCCCCCCTTTACGCTAGAAATGGAAGATGTGTCTATCCCGACAATCTGTCCATGACTAAAACAGAACATTCCATATCACTTGGATTTTTGTTCCATGTCATGTGCCATCAATTTATGACTGACTTGCTAATGACCTAGCTGTATGTGAGTGATTGGTTGGCTAGTCTGTTGCAAGGAATATCACATGAATTACCAAAAGAACAATTGTATATATATATAGTACTAGGAAGAGTTGAAAAAAAAAACTCCAATAGAAATGCTGTCATCAGCTCAGCTGAGGAAATGGGTTTCATGAGTTTACTGGGAAACATATTCTACGGATTTAGTAAAAAAAAAAATTAAAATACATTACTGGATCAACAAACTGCTTGATATTTATGTGGAAGAATGCATTTGTTTATGCAGGTTGCTGAAGGAATGTCATATGTAGATTTAATTATTAAACTAAAAAAGTTAATATGTTCACTGTCTAAAAAAAATTATCTTTTTCTTGACCTAAAATTCTAGATGATACATACAAAGTTATCAAATCCAGAAACTACTATGCCTTGATTTGCTCTAGGAAATTTGCTACTAGTGTCCTCCCATTCATTTAGAGCAGTGTTTCCCAAACTTGACAATTTTAAGGCATGAGGACTTCAACTCCCAGAATTCCACAGCCAGCAATGCTGGCTGTGGAATTCTGGGAGTTGAAGTCCACATGCCTTAAAATTGTCAAGTTTGGGAAACACTGATTTTTAGAGGATTCTTCCCAGAGAGCAGAAGTCACTTAACCTTGACTGACATTCAATTTTGAAGTTGAATTATTTGAGCTTGACCCATAGCCTTAAGTCAGTACCCAGTTCAGATATAAAGTCATTTTGTCCAACTATACTTAGGTGCATCAAACCAGCCTCAAAATCTTATTTTCAGCTTCAGAAAAATCTATTGATCGTGAGACAAATAGCCCTGTTTCAGCAATTTCTTATAAGGACTCCTATTATTTCAGTGGAAGGAGCAAATTGCAATGACTTGCAATTAAATCTTCCTTTGAAACAGATGTGCATGTTCGTCTGTCAGCTACCCTTCTAGAGTCTGACACACAAGATGATATAAATGTGAAGGTCAAAGAACTGAGCAATACTTTCATAATTGTACACTTCCATTAACTCCATTAGTTCTATGGAACATAGAACTAGAACAACACCTATGTGGGGTATAACACTTTTCATTTAATTTTGGCTCAGGAAATAGCTTGAGAGAGTTACTTCTCAAGTTGTAAGAGGGACAGAGTCCTTAGCTGTAGATCAGGGTGACACAATTGGCAGCCTTATGTGTCCTCCCTCCAATTTTTCATGCAACACAGAAATTATTAAACACATAGGTGGTAATCATAATCAAGCTCTATTTACTTTAAATTCTAACTTAAATATGTCAAACTTGGATTTTGTCCTGGCTGCAGCAACGTCTTTGCTCTGGCCTCACTTTTCCAGTTGCAGCTGCCAAGAATCCACCCAAAAGCCAAGTGTGACCTTCAGCCCAGAAAACGTTGCAAGCTCCCGCATACCCTTAGATCACATGGGGACATTTGTGAAAACTGCAACAGGCTTCTGAAAGTTAGAACTTAAACAATATATAAAAAGAGAAATGTAAAAAAATAATCTGGCTTTTATAATATCCGAATTAAGAGATTTAAATAAAAATATCAGATAAATATAGATTTATAATAATATAAGAAGTCGTTAGGTATTACGTACCTGTCAATAGTTTTCCCTTACTTCGATAATATACAGTAAAGATAATTATACCAGCCAAGGCGATGAGGAGGAATGGAACAATCAACACATAAAATAATTTCTTGTTTTCTGGAAAATGAAAAACTGACAATGAATTATAAAAGCTTAGACTCAGGAAATACCATTTTGGATCTGCTTTTTTGTAAAAAAAATGCTTTTTAATCAAATAGTACAGGGAAACATTGTAGTAGTGGACTGTTAAATTTCACTTGTCTTTCATTACTGAAAATAGAAACATCATAGGACAAACTAGGAGTTAGTTATGGTTTATAGAACGTGCAATTTTCAATCTATGCTTGCACTATTTGTGTCCTGCAAGATAACACATGCACCCTACCCACATCTAAGATTAATTTTTAGCCCTGAATTTTCATGCTGGGAAAAACAGACACAACATTAAGATATTTTGAAGGTATTGTGCATGGCCCATCTCATTTTGGAGTAAGTCAATGCTATGATCTTGTCCCAAACAGCTGAGCTATTGTCACTGAAATAGTTCAAGTTGTTGATGATTATTTGTCAAGAATCCAACATATCTTAGAGCATGAGGGGCAGCAAGACAAGGATAGCCTCTACCCATTTGCACATATAGTATAATGGTTTTCAACCTCCTAGTGGGTTCTGTGAAGTAGTGTAGAAGATACTGAGCCTTTCCTGGTAGTCCGTGTTTAATGATGGCAGTTAGGACTAGAATTTCCATCGCTAAGCAACACAGCCAGAAAGCACAACGTTATGTGACCGCACCGCTTAGTGGCAACAATTCCAGCACTTCCTACTGTTGTTGTTAACCGAATTCCATACCTTCGTCATCTTTTATAATCTGCCAGCTTTCTCTTTGATTATAGCTTGGTGGAAGCTAGGAGTTGTGAGCCAGTCACCAAGAGCCTGGATCTCAATCATGTGACTGCAGGTAGCGGTAACAGCCCCAATTATGAGGACTGGTTGTAAATACCACTCATTTAGCATGTTGTAAACTTTAAACAGTCACCAAACAAGTAATTGTTAAATGAAGACTACCTGTAACTGGATCTTTAAAACTTACAAATGGTAAACACAAGAACAGAATGCCTAGTAACATACAAATGTATTTTTTTTTTAAAAAAAAGTTTTCTTTATATCACGGCAGGACACAGATTTTCTGAATACTGCTAAATGGCATTTAAGATATGAATTCGGAGAACCAGTGTGTTAGCTAATAAAGATGTGGCTTATGTCTGTCCAATTTAACTTGGTTAGGTTTTTCCCTTTTTAGCCTCTTGTATTCTGGTTAAACTAGAACTGGGCAACCCATAAACCCAGCCCCATTTTATTAACTCAGAGAGCACCCTTCGATTATGTTGCCAAAAACTGACAGAAAAAAAAAATCCATTTCTGATAACAGGATTTTTTTAGTTTGCATCTTTAAATCTTTACAAACAAATATCTATGGACAAATATCCACTATCTTACAACAATAATCTGTGGTGGTTCCAATTACCTTCCTGTGATCAGCCTTTGTCAAGCATGAAAGATCAGGTCCACACATGAAAGTCCAATTAAACAGATTTAAAGCTAAACAGCCTACACATAGGAATCTTCTCAAGTAATGGTTAACACTTGCTTGGAGTTAGATAAGAGACCACAGAATTCAAAGGGGGGTGGACTTAGTCTGCTTGTGTCTATGTAGAGATTCTAGGCTTTTAACCCCACACCCAGGATCTGCCACTCCTTTTTCTACATCTTTATCCGTTCCTCTCCATCTAGTTTATCCATTTTATTCCTCTACTTCAACTTCTCTCAACTTTGCCAAATGAAGTCATTATTTTTCTATATAGTTTGTGGACATCCCATACTCAGGCTATCTGAGTTACGTTTGCTTACTTTTCCAAGCTGGGTATTTCCAGCATGTGTGCAGGTAATCCTGTAGCTACCAAAGATTGCTGGTCAACTCTGAAGCGCACTATAGGCAATCCTATATACTCAGAAAGTCTTCCTGGCTGGAAAATTCTATCATGCTTGTTATGTCCCGAGCCTTGCAAACGGCTCGGGCGTTTGCAGGCAGTCCCGGGCAGGTGCAAAGCTGCCCGGGACCAGACAGGCTGTCGCCAGCGCCGTGCGCATGCGCGGGTGCTGGCGCGGGAAAAGTAACCCATTTACCCGGGAGTTGCCTATATAAGAGGCTGTGAGGCGTTTGGGCTGAGCTGAAGCCATCTTCCTGTAAGCTGAACGCTGAATAAAAGAACCTGAGAACTCCAGCTGCTTCTCGTGTCTGTTTTCCCGCCAAGGACGCAACACTGGCGACGAGGATGGGATGCCTTGCACTACCTGGAAAGGAAAAAGTGTAAGCTTACCCAAGGAGTCCTGAGCGGCGGAAGAGGAACGGTGTTGACTCAGCAGCTGCCCGCCAATCCAGTGCGCATTCGGGGGTAGGCTGGCTGATAGACCCGTCTCCTGAAGATCCGAAGATGGCGAAAATCGGAAGGCTTTCGGAATTCGACGTCTCACATCCAGAGCGGTGGGAGTCCTACGTATCCAGAATGGAGAACTACTTCAAGGCAAACCAAGTGAGGGAAGATAGCTTGAAGGCTGCCACCCTGCTTTGCGTTTGCGGCCAAGACGCCTTCGAAATCGCAGAAAACCTTGCAGCACCTGTCCCAGTAGAGTCTGTAAGCTACGCAGACCTGAAGAAGCTGCTGAAGGAGCATTTCCATCCCAAGGTGTCCGTTATCTCATGGCGCCACACCTTCGAACAAAGGGATCAACGGTCCGGTGAGTCAGCCAAGGAATACATCGCCGCGTTACGGAAGGCCGCCAAGCCCTGCGAGTTCAAGGACCTCGAGGAACGACTGAGGGACCGATTCGTGTGCGGGTTGAGGCATCGAGAGCTACAACAGAGACTTTTCGCTAAGGAAGAATTATCCTTCCAAGACGCTTTAAGGGAAGCCACCGCGGAAGAAGCAGCAGGCGGCGCCGTCAAGAACATGCGGCCGATCAGAAGCAGTGCAGAGGGTGCGTCCGTGCACCAAGAAGACGTCCGACGAAACTCCGAGGAGGATCCGGACGAAGAAGTCGACCGTCTACACCCCGCGAAGGGAGAAAATCAGAAGGAAAGCTCTTCAGCTCCGCTCAAGTGCATCGGCTGTGGAGGTCGCCACAGGAGAACCGACTGCAAGTTCCGCTCCGCTACCTGCCGGGCATGCGGCAAACTAGGGCACATTGCAGCTGTGTGTCTGGGCCGACGAAAGGCACAACCTCAAGAAGAACGCCTGAAGGGTACCAGAGTCCCCAGCCAGAATAGGGTAGGTTTTTGCGCTTCGCGTAGAAACATTTGTAGGACAGGCACACACAAGCCCATGAAGAAAAAGCTGTCACTCAACGTGAAGCTACAAGGGGTTCCATTATCTATGGAACTAGACACAGGGTCCGCCCTTTCCATCATTTCATTGCATACATTTAGGAAGATTTGTTCCAGTAGTGGGACTAAGGCCAAGTTAAGGCCTTCTGATATTGTATTAACTGATTTTCAGAACTCAAGAGTGTGTGTTAAGGGGGAGGCCACCCTTAACGTGCAATACAAGAGTTTTGAAGGTCCACTAGACTTGTTAGTAGTAGGGGGTGAAAGAACGAGTCTCATAGGACTCGATTGGTTTGAGGCCCTGGGGATACACGTCACAGGACTCAACAGCTTACAAACACTCGACCTACAGGAAGTCTGCAAGGAATTTTCAGATGTTTTCAGCCCCCAGCTGGGCACATTCAAAGGACCACCTGTGTCCTTAAAGCTAGACCCCACTGTCACTCCCATTAGGATTAAAGCAAGAAGGGTCCCTTTTGCTTTAAAAAGTAAGATTGACACTGAATTAGACAAACTAATCCAACAAGGAATCCTAGAACCTGTTGATTCCAGCCCATGGGAGACCCCCATTGTCACGCCTCTAAAGGCAAATGGGGACATTCGCATTTGTGCTGATTACAAATGCACACTCAATAAGGCATTGCAGCAACATGCCTATCCTGTTCCTGTGGTCAGTCACATCCTGGCCTCTCTCAAGGGGGGGGCGTGTTTTTGCAAAGCTTGACCTAGCTCAAGCATATCAACAGCTGCCTGTTGATGATGATGCTGCCATAGCTCAGACTATTGTGACCCACAGGGGAGCCTTAAGGTAAAAAGGCTGCAGTTTGGAGTGAATGTCGCTCCTGGGATTTTCCAAAGCGTAATGGAAAACACACTACGAGGTATACCAGGGGTCTGCCCCTACTTTGACGATGTCTTGATTGCAGGAGACTCCACACACATTCTAGCTGAAAGGCTTAGGGCTGTCCTGTTAAGATTCAGGAAATCAGGCCTTAAGCTCAGAAAAGACAAATGCAAGATTGGGGTGCCTTCTACTGAATTTCTGGGATTCAAAATTGATGCTGCTGGGATTCATCCTGCTGAATCCAAACTAACTGCTATTTTAGAAGCACCCAGGCCAAAGTCTAAGGCCGAACTTCAGGCCTTCTTAGGCCTCCTGAATTTCTACAATTCTTTTCTTCCACATAAAGCTAGTGTAGCTGAGCCTCTTCACAGGCTACTAGACAAACAAGCTGTGTGGCTGTGGTCACAAGCACATGAGGCTTGCTTTAAAGAAGTCAAGGCCTTGCTCACTTCTAACAGTGTTCTTGCACATTTCAACGAGTCTCTCCCTGTGTGCATCGCTTGTGATGCATCCCCTACGGGGTTGGAGCTGTCCTGAGTCACCTCAGGTCTGATGGAACTCAGGTTCCTATTGCATACTACTCCAGAACATTGTCTTCTGCCGAGCGCAACTACGCTCAGATAGACAGGGAGGCTCTGGCTGTTGTTGCTGGAATTAAAAAATTCCACGATTTTCTATATGGCAGGCATTTCACGGTCTTCACTGACCATAAGCCTCTGCTGGGACTGTTTACCACACGTAAGCAGACTCCCCACATCATTTCCCCTAGAATGCTTAGGTGGTCTATTTTCTTGTCTGCATATGATTTTTCATTACTCCACAAGCCTGGGAAAGAAATGGGCCATGCTGATGGCCTCAGTAGGTTGCCTCTGCCAGTAGTAGAAGCTGACCCCGCGCCAGCTGTCAACATTTCTATCAATCCAAGCCTTGCCCGAGCTTCCTCTTAGTGCCAGGGATGTTACCGCTGAAACAGGTACAGATCACACACTTTCACGTGTCCGCTCCTGGGTCCTGTCCGGGTGGCCTGAGCACTGCCCTAGTCCTGAGTTTCAGAGTTTCTGGTCCAAAAGGAACGAATTGTCCCTTTCTCAGGGTTGTTTGCTTTGGGGAAACAGAGTTGTCATTCCCACCTCAATGAGGACTAGGGTCTTAGAATCCCTCCACGAGGGTCATCCTGGCATTGTTCGTATGAAGGCTCTTGCACGCAGCCACTTGTGGTGGCCTGCTTTAGATAAAGATATGAGGCTAAGGTACACGCATGCCACATGTGCCAACGATCTCGCCCAGAGATGCCCCAAGCTCCTGTGCATAAATGGGAGGAAACACAGTCCCCATGGTCTAGGGTGCACATTGACTACGCTGGGCCCTTTCAGGGCCAGTTCTTCTTGGTCCTTGTTGACAGCCATTCAAAATGGCTTGAGGTTGTGCCTGTCTCGTCCACCACCACTGCAAAGACTATTCAGGTACTGAGGGGGATTTTTGCTGCACACGGGCTGCCAGATGTCATTGTGTCTGACAACGGCCCTCAATTCACCTCCTCCGAATTCCAAGCTTTCTTACAGGCAAACCTGATTCGTCATGCCCCATCTGCGCCTTTTCACCCATCCACCAACGGTATGGCTGAACGCATGGTGCGCATCGCAAAGGACGCCTTGAAGAGACTCACCTACGGGGACTGGCATCACAGGTTGGCTGACTTTCTCCTTTCTTATCGCACCACACCGTCCACTTCTACAGGGAGAAGTCCAGCTGAACTTCGTTGGGGGCGCCAACTTACTACGAGACTTGACCGGTTGCATCCGGACAGACTGCCTTCATCTACCTCACATCCTAGGGCACCTAGACAACTACTTGTGGGTGCCCCGGTTTGGGCTCGCAATTACGGGCCTGGTCATACATGGGTCCCCGCTTCTGTGTCCAGGATCACAGGTCCTCTCTCCTACGAGGTTGCCCTGGACAACGGTCGTGTCCTGCGTCGGCACATCGACCAACTCCGCTCTAGGCGGGACTTTTCTGCTGAAACTCCTGGGTCTTTTCCAGGGGGGGAGGGGGACCCTTTGGAGCAAAGGGAAGGGCAAGAGCTACTGCCCATCGCCACTGAGGGAGCCACAAACGGCTCGTCCCAAGATTCTGCAATTGCTCCGAAAAGGAAGTCTTGGAGCTTACCCACACAACAGGCACTCACGCCTACTCCAGCCAGGGAGTTACCCCGGGGGCATACTCACTTTCCACACACAGCACACAGCACTCCAGCAACGGAGGATACCCGGGGGCATCCCAACAAATCATTCCCCGCAAGAGAGCTGGCACACAATGCCCAAGGTTGGCCTGACCTTACCCCAAATCCTACAGGGGGTCAAACATACACAGAGCTAGTCGAGGAACCAAGTCCCGACTACAACACCCCTAGCACAAATCAGGGGACACCTGAGTTTTGGGAGAGTACAGAAACCCACACGAGCCCAAACACAGAATGGGGTTCAGGGAATAGACAGCCTCCTGACAGGTCTTGGACTGACCTAGGGGGTTCTACAGAGACGCCCAGCAGTGGCTATCACTTCAAGGGGCCTGAGGGTCTACAGCTAGGTAGGACAACCAGGTCACAAAGCAACAGAAGCCCTGGCCTGACGAGCCCGGTGGGCAAGCAAGCAGGCCAGGCATCGGGGCACAGTCCTTGGAAGACACCAGGGCACAGTAGAGAGAACAGGCTCACGCCTCCCTCCAGTCAGGGAACTTATGCCAGTAACCCAGAGCTAAGAAGGTCACAGAGAGCAAAGAAATCTCCTAAGTACCTAGAAGATTACATAACATTGTTGGCAAGACAAAAGCCAGTAAACAGTGGGAACACTGGGGAGCAAATTGTCGTGTAAAATAAATGTTGTATGTTGATAGTAGTTTTAGCCCGGGGGAAAGGGGTGTTATGTCCCGAGCCTTGCAAACGGCTCGGGCGTTTGCAGGCAGTCCCGGGCAGGTGCAAAGCTGCCCGGGACCAGACAGGCTGTCGCCAGCGCCGTGCGCATGCGCGGGTGCTGGCGCGGGAAAAGTAACCCATTTACCCGGGAGTTGCCTATATAAGAGGCTGTGAGGCGTTTGGGCTGAGCTGAAGCCATCTTCCTGTAAGCTGAACGCTGAATAAAAGAACCTGAGAACTCCAGCTGCTTCTCGTGTCTGTTTTCCCGCCAAGGACG